AGTTCTGCAGTGCTGGCTGAGGAGGAGGAGGAGGAGGAGGAGGAGGCGGCCATGTGTCGCACAGCTTCCGGGCCTCAGTCAGGACATGCAGCCATTCATAAATTCTTTCATTGACAAACTGCACTTCCTCACCACTAAAACATTACAAAAGGGAGAGTAAACAGTCGTTTTTCTCCCCCAGAATTTTAAATATTGGCCGTGTTTGTGAACKTATAGAGTGACGTCCAATCCCAATCCCGGAGGGGCCACCATCCTGCATGTTTGAGCCGCTGTCCGGGTTTTTAGCAGGTCTTCGAGTTCCACAGAAGTCCCGTCAGGTGTGTTGAAGCAGAGGAACATGTAAAATATAGAGGACGGTGGCCCTCCAGGACCAGGATTGAGGAAGASTTTTCTAGAAAGTCAAAAAGTTCTSTTTCATGAATAAATGTTCATTGTCTTGCATGATACTTTATAGGGGACATATCATAAAAATCCACTCTTTTAGACCTTAAATGTATTATGTTGTGTACTTGGAGTCTCTAGGAGTGCAGAAAACTTTTATTTAGGCTCTCTTTGTGTTTTAAAGATATCTTTATATTCTGTTTGGGTCAGATCTTTCAACACCTTCATTTTTCTCAATTTCCTATGATGTTAAACTATTATGTCTAATTATTTGCAGCAGTTTCGAATTAAGACTTACCAAATACAGTTTGGTGGTCTTCACTCTCCTCTGACTCTGGGTCAGACTCTGGCTCCAACATGTAAAGCTGGACGGACAAGTCTTCCCTTGTTGACATATTTTAATTAATTTGTAAATAAAAYATTTTTGCGCCACTATAATCATGAACCCCTCTATCAAACTGCAGTGGACCGGTCTGGAAGCTGACGGGGGGCGGGGCGTGAAGCGCCTCATTTGGATTTAAAGAGACAGCCTCAAAACGAGTTGATCTGAGGCASACCTCAGGAAAGGAGTGAAAGAGGGGCTTGTGGAGCTACAATATGGAGGAATTCAGACCAATGCATCGCAGTTCCACTTTATGTAGACCCCAACTGAACAAATGTAAAAAAGAAGAATTAAAACCATGATAAATCTTCTTTAAACAGCAATTTTACTGTTGGCACTCAGGGGATTAGTTGGTCATGACTCTCGCTTTCTACCAAATTATATCTTAGCTCAGTATCTGTAAAATGAACTGAATCAAAAATATTTTTTGTGTTTAATGAGGTCAGTTAGCTGGTGAGTAAATAGTTACTTGTTCGAGTTACATTATTTTATTACAAAATAAGCCTAATTGTAATTTATTACAGATGCCTTAGAAGTTACGTAATTTAGATTAAAGCTATTGTAGAAAATGCAATGATCACAATTTGTTTTACATTTTCAATAAAAAAATAAAAGTTTGGTTAAATGTTGGYGGCCATCTTGAAAGAGGTGGATTCTAATGTACTTTCAATACTTCCTGGAAGTACCCTTAAAATCCTTCCAGTGATGTTTTGCTAACAAACATGCACAAACAGGTAATTCCATTACTGCCCTTTCATGGCAGCGGGAGATAAACAGTAAAACAAAATAAGTCAAACTGTTGGCAGAAGAACAGCTCTTCTCCTTTCCCATTAGTCCAAAACAGCTGAGAACCGTGTGTCCAGTTTTGTTCAGGAAGTGATGGAGAAAGTGCCGACCTCAGAGTTTTCAGATTGGATTAGTCATCTTCAGACGTGGCAGTCATCAGATTCACAGACGTCAGTAGGTTCGTACATGTCCATTACTCTAAACTGAAGGGACTAGATGCTGGATCATGAGCACAAAGATGACGATGAAAAAAGGTTAAATGAAGAACAAGAGAGTTTAAATGAGTTGGAAGAAAGAAGCAGCTGAATCAGTGTTAAATACGTGAGAGTCAAGGGCAACAGTAAGAAATACATTTTTAACCTGTTATTTCTTTAATTCGGGGGTGGATTATGTGAAATAGACTTTTTTTTTTACCTTTCTGTCATATTATAATGACGTTCCCTCATCAAAAACATACACAGAGAGATACTTTGACTCATTCATGCAGGTTTAAGAAATCCTTGAATTACCGTAGCCATGTGGAGCTGTCTAAGCGCTTGCTGGTACGAAGCTCCGCCCATTTGCACAAAGCTCCTCCCCGGAGCTCAGTCTGCAGCCAAGCTCCCCAAAGCATTGTTTGAAAACATGCTGAAGTGGGAGTGTCAGAAATGGTAGGAGGCTCTTAAAGTGACCGAGGACAATTTTAAAGTTTAGATAGACTATGATGCAAGTCACATTTATTTTTGATGCAACATTTTCATAAAAAAAAGAAGGTAACATAGTTTTGATTGTGGTGTATAATTCAACTRTGTGCCTGGAAAATACAAAGCAGCCCCCTTAAAAAATGATATAGGYTTTTTTAATGGTGTTATTCCAATAATGTATAGTTTGCTCTGCTCAGGCCAGCTGTTATCTTATCAGTCAGAATCTTGTATAATGTTCTTAATAAATAAAGAAACCCTAATTTCTGCAAAAATATCTGTACTCACTGTAAATAAATGTCTTTACTCACAAGTTCAAACTATATTTTTCTAAACATGTTTTAGTCTTTGTGATGGGAAGTGTTTAAGTGGCTCTGAGGTGTGTGTGTGTTCTTGCTGTGAGCAGCACACAYCTTGCTGCAGTAATCTCAGAGGTCCTAATGTGCTGAGGGGGCCTGTTCAGTGTTCCGGTGACTCGTGACATGGAACACACGAYCACAGCCTGCGTACGACACAGTCCATCTCATCACGTTCAGACTGGGATTGTGTAAGTTGAATGAAATACGCAGACGCTCAGGTCTGCAGCAGCAGCGGCAGCAGCAGCCCGGCTTCCTGCAGCAAACTGCTGTTTTGTTTTTTCTCTCTTATTGCAGTTTTGGAAGAGTTCCCACTGCTGCTGCTGCATTGAGACTCTGGGTGGAGGGGCCCGGAAAGATGAGCGGTCGGTGCGCATGCATCCTTGAAACATTATTCCCTGCTTGATGTTAACACCCCCCCCCCCCCACACACACACACACACACAAATACAAAGACATGTGTGTGAAGCTGCACTTCATTCTTCCTTATTCTACTCCACATTTTCATCATGAAAGCAAATCTACATCAAAAAACTGTTTATGCCTCATGTAAATAAATGGGTTCAGTTTAAACTAAATTAAATCAAACAAATAACTTAATTCCAGTTTTGTTATCTTCCAGCATGTGTGTGTGTGTGTGTGTGTGTGTGTGTGTGTGTGTGTGTGTGTGTGTGTGTGTGTGTATTTGTTCAAATGTGGGGACCGACTGCTCCTCATGGGGATAAAAGCAAGGTCCCCATGAGTTATGTTGTTTCTGAGTTGAGGGTTTGGTTTAGGTCCAATGTGTGATTTGGTTTTGGAGTAGGTGGGGGTATGTGGCAGACCAGGGCTATTCAACTGGTGGTCCATGGGCCACATTAGGCCCAAGGGTGATTTCCGTGTGGCCCAGCAATGACCCTCACCTGCATCAAAAATAAAAAATTCCTATTTTAACTTAATTTAATACAGTTTAAAAATCAGTCGTATTTCTTTTGATTCAAAACAACTAAATGAATAAAAGGTTTAAGATAATAATGCTTGTTCTTTTACATAAAGCCTTTAGAAAACAACTAGAGAACTGCTGACACCACATATTGTTTCCGTCTTGCCTTTATCCCGTTCTCACAGCTCTGCATTGACTCGCCCAGGTTTTTTCATTTTTATCTCATCAGAAATATTTATCCAGTTAGTATTTAGTCTGAAAGTATTTACAGTTGTTCCTACAGAGTAGCAGCTCTCTTTGACAATAAAGTTTCCACCCAAAAACAATAGAGGGAGTGAGCCCTGATGAGTTGCGTGAACTTTAAGCTTTGGTTAGCTATTACAGTAAACTCTGAGTTTAAACATGTCATGTCTGACACATAAAGGAGCGGCTTGGTATGTTATCTGACCAGTTCATGCAAAGGGTGTGTGCGTTCACACCCCATGAAATATTTGTGTCAAAACATTAATTAGAAAACATTAATTAGAAAACATGCATGACTGTCTTCAGGTCCAGGCCTCCCCTGTAAAAGACATCTGTGATCTCAGTGGGACATGCCTGGTTAAATGAAATAATCAAAATCATGTGTGATTTCTAAAAAGTTTATTCAAAATTTGCTCAAATATATTTGACAAGTTACAGTTCGCTAAAAAAATAAACACTTATACAGTTTAGATTTTATTTACACTAAGTACAAAACAAAAATATCCATATAAGTATCTACAATGTTACTGCTAATTAAAATTTGCAGTTCAACAACAACAACAAAAAAAAAAGGTTTTATATGCAAGGATATAAAATGGGCTGGTGTTTATCAGGTTCAAAATGTTGTCAAATCTAACCTCGAGTGTGCAAAAACTGGAGCCTACAGGTGTGTGTTAACACAACGCCAAGGAGGTTGCTTCTACACGTGTATTCTACAGAGATAAAGGATTATTTTCAAGTGGAAAACATTTAAGACAGCTGCCAAGTTCTCCTGAAGGGAATGTCTTGGGAAATGTACCCCAAGGTCAGACTGTGCAATAAAGGAATTGGGGGGAAAAAAACCCAAAAAAACTCCATCTCAGATTCTACAGGTAGCAGGTTAAAGCTTAACGTTCAGGATCATTTTAGAATCAGATAAAGACCTCATGGTTTTCATTATGTCCTGATTTCTCAAACTAGTTTTAAAAAAGGTCTGTCTTTAAAAAAAAGAAAAGAAAAAGTAAAATATTTACAGCAGTGAGCCCATCTGGTGACATTGGATTAAAAAAAAAAACATGGCCACAAGATAATCATTGCAGTTATTTCCACGCAGAGACTGTTGTTTACATAAGCAAGTTTGAATTAATGCCATTTTATTTTATTATAAGAAAGAATGACCCTTGCAGTTAGGCAAGTAATTCTTAAGTGTTATATGTTGCAGCTAAAAGACACAGGTGATGACTGGAGTTGTCTTTGTCCAAAAATGTTTTTCTTTATCTCAACACTCAAAACAGGCTCTTATCTCTCACTGTGCCTTTGCTGTGGGAGGAGTCAGAGTTATGTTACAATCAGGAACACAGTAAAATATTTCTCTCCTGAGATAACAACTCATGGCCGCACAATAACTAAAGCGTGGTCACAAATTATTGTCACATGGCCACATTTTTATTTATTTTTTCCTCACTGTTAACGAACGTGCTTCGAGCCAGTCTAGGAGGCAAAACTCAGATAACAAAAAACAAAAATTAGTGAACAAAACAAAACAAAAAAAACATTTAAAAAACAACTTAACAGTTAACACTCCATTTTTTAAATACTAAGAGTACTTTATGTATAAAAAAGGTCACACAGCTACGTACAATTTAAAAATCTTGAATAATCCAAGGAAATTTGTTTTAAAAGGTCTAAAAAAAGGTTTAAAAGCAAATATTTGCTAAATAATCCTGACTGTAGAGGGTTGAGGTACTATGATGGAGTATTAGAGTCAGACTATGAAAATATTTTTTCTTATATATTCAAATAATAATATAATGAGAATAATGTCTTCAAAATAGACACAGCTGTTGGTACAATCATTTCAAAGTCCTGCTACTGACAATAAGTTGATGTTTCAAGATTATTTATTTATAAAACTGATAACAAAGGATAACTACAGGATGCTCAAAATTTTGTCTTTTTAACGCAATGGTGAGATTTGTTTATCCTGTAGTTCTTATATTACTTTATTCTCATAATGTTATGACTTACTCTTAATGTTGACTTTATTCTCATGTTGTGAATTTATTCTCGTTTTGACTTTCACATGATGTTGTGAATTTATTCTCCTAAAGCTGCAACTTTATTCTCATAATGTTAGATTTATTCTCATAATGGTGCAACTATTCTCGCTACGAATATTCTCACATTACGACTATAATCTCATGTTGACTTTATTCTCAAAATGTTATGACTTTATTTTCAGTGTTAGAGCTTTATTTTCATGTTGCTATTTTATTCTCAACGTTGCGACTTATTCTTACAAAGTTATGACTTTATTCTTATAACGCTAGGGCTTTATTCTGATAATGTTATGACTGTTCTTGTGATTTAAAAAAAATTCTCATGGTCTAGCCCTAATACCTCCTTGTAGAGTTCCAATAAAAACAATCCAAGGGAAAAAAAAACTAGCAAGAGAGGAATGCATTGCATTCAAAAGACTATCTCTGGTTTTGTTTTGCCATAAATGTTATTTTTATCGATAATCATGAGATCAGTAACCAGAAATCTGTTAATTACGTTTAATTATTTATAAAAAAAATTGAGTTGTGTCAAACGAAAAAAGAAAAGTTGTTTCAGCTAGTTGTGTCAAACGGAAAAAGAAAAGTTGTTTCAGCTAAAAAGTGTATTTATCAGATCATCACTGTCATCATCATCGTCATCATCATCATTACCATTATCTTCATCGTCATCATCATCATCATCGTCATCGTCATCATCATCACTTTCTGAGTCTTCATCATCTGAACTTTGCGCCTCAGTTTTCTTCGTCACAGCTGACAGCTGAACTGCCTCCACAGGCGAGCTGATGCCGTCGCACAWCCACAGACAACAACATGAAAACAGTGAGACGGGCCAATCATGGACATTCTGCGTTTGTAGATTTTTTTTTGTTTTTGTTTTTTAGAGACGGGATTGGTTTAATTTGCAAATATCCTAAATACCCAGAATCTTCAGTCTGATACCAAGGAAGCCCAGAGAGTCAATGCAACCCCTTTGAAAAGCATTTTTCATCCAGCAGCTCATCGTTCTCCTGGGCTCAGGAAATTCCTCACCTGAACTCCAAGTGTGACAGTCAGACACTGAAGCATCAGTTGTTAGTAAAGTTGTTGCTCACAGAGAAAAAAGGAGGTTTCTGTGAACTTATTTCAGCCTTTTCCGCCTCTGAACTGGTTTCCTCAGTAGAAGACTTTAGCAAGAATATTTAAAGTTAACCCACCGCAGCAGTTGTTGTGCTTTGGAGAGTTACTTTTCGTTTGGTTTACTTTGAAATAATCATTGTACAAAGTCACTGCTGCTGTGAATTAAAGGAAAAACGTCAAGACCCACCTCAAGAACAGCTTATTCATATTTACACCCCCTACTCTGCTGCTTAAAATATCTAAGAAATTTTATTTTAGAAAAATAAAAAATAACTTTTTTTAAAAGTCCATAAAAATGTTGAATTTTCAAAATTACAACATATTAAAAAGCAGTACTATWTACAGCCAATACTGCAGAGTAATCTGCAGAGATTTCTGAAAAGTTCCTGATGGAGGAGCAAATATGGAAGAAAAAGATGCAGTTTGTTGGTCTCTTCCAGGAGGAAAAAAATTAAAATGGACCCAAACAGCCCACCAGACTCCATCCCAAGAGGATCAGATGAGCTCAGGTTCTCCAGCTCTCACCATGGGTCTTTCTTCTCATGCGTCCTCTCTGTGTGCATCTCAATGTCATTTCCCATGTGTTTACTCCTGTAGACCCTTACCGCCACAATGATACAGAGCAGGATCAGAATGACGACRCAGGCGCCTCCGACGGCTGCCACCAGGACCATGATCTCAGACACGGTTGCTAGAAATGGAAAAAAAATAGACAAATAAGACATTTGATTCAATTTGTTTAAAATTATGTTTATTTATCTAACTGATGCTATAACTGAAGAGATAAGATAAGCAAAACTTCTCATCAACCATTTACTATAAATACAACAAACATCAATCTGACCTTTGGTGACGACTGTGAGGACGGTTTCTCCATTGCTGCCGTGCACATCTGGACGGTTGCGCACCTGGCAGATGTAGGTACCGTTGAAGGATGGAAGCACCTGTTTCAGGGTGATGGAGGCGTCTTTCCCCAAAATGTCTCCCGACCACTCTGCATGGCCTTTGAAACGCCCTTCATCAGGAGGGAACGGTTCACCCTGGTAGAAAAATACCTGAAATGTACAAAAAAAAAAAGGAAAAAAATAAATGAACAAGAGTACTGTCAGCTGTACATAAATATACATGATCAGGGAGGGGTGAAAGGTCAGTGCTCCTGTTAATGATGTATGCAATGGTTTAAAAACAAAACATAAGTTATAAAGTGACAAACGTAACATTTTATGATCAGAGTAGTAGATTTCACCACTCCAGATTTCTCTGATAGAAGTCTTAATGAAAATAAGACCCAATGTGGAGCCATAATCTGACACTTCCTATCCTAAACATTTGTGGAGTTACTTACTGTGTACAGTGTATGGATATGCAGATAAGGACAATCTAAGGAAYAAAGGGTTTGACATTTCTATGTTGCTGGAGCATAGAAGAGTTTTTAACGACGGGGTCGCCTGCATCAATACGAATCATCCATGACTGAGTGCACCTGGTGCATCAGGTGCTGTTAAATAAGCAATCAGGATGGTAAAAAGAGGAATGTGGGACAGGATTACTTTCAGTGTGAGAGAAAAGTGAAACCCTGGGTTAAAAAAAAAGTAACTGGCTCAAAGAACCTGAGGTTCTGATAGAACTTTTTGTTTGGAGTGTAAATATTTTGAGTTTAAACAAAAGTTTGATTTTTTTGACTTTGATCGCACAGAACTTTAGTTTAAATGAAATCAGTCATTGTAAATTAAGATACATGTTTTAGTTGTGTGAATTTTTTTATGTTAAAAGGCAATTTGCTGGTTTTGAAGTAAGGAATATTTTTTGCCTGTTTAAAAGGTTTTCAACCTACCTGCTACACTACTACCAACTGCTACTGCTAACTGCTACTGTTACATCAGAAGATCTGCTGTGAGACGCACACAAGTAAAATGAACATGAAATAAAGGTTAAATAAATAAAGAAAAAAAGAACATCAGAGAACAAATTGAATTGTTGCCTTTTATCCTTTAAAGAACCATTAAAAATGATTAAGATCAATAATATGCAAATAAACTTTATTCTATTTATTTATTTATTTTGCACTGCAGTCTGTTCTCATTCCAACTCATTTAGCCAGCAGGGGTCACAAATACAAAAGAAAATATTTCCAAATGTGCTGCAGGATTAAACAATCTCAGAATTAAAAATGTGTACCGTTTCATCTTTTGTGTTTTTTTCATATTAGAATTTTGCCCATTTTTTATAGGAAACAGTCACTACAAAAAATAAATGAATAAAAATCACCAACCAAAAGGAGTAGATAAAAAGAATAGACTGACTAACATCTGGGAAAGAATACAAATAAGTAAAAATAAATAAATATAGAGAA